TTCTCCTGGGACTTTGGGTACCTATGCACATGTGTCTGGCATGATATTCAAGCTACCAGGTCCAGGACTCCAACCACAGTTGGCCATGTGGTAGTCCAGAGACTTAACCATCACACCAATTGCTGACCCAAAAGATTTATATATATGTGTGTGTGTGTGTGTGTGTGTGTGTGTATATATATACATATATATATATATTTGTATTGGGTTGTCAGAAAAGTCCTAACACATTTTCGCATAGAAAAAAACAGAAAAAAAAATGTCATAACTTTTTAGACAAACCCTATATATATGTGTGTGTATGGTATATATAGATAGATATGTGCATATATAATATTATCTGAAATGGATATATATGTGTCTATATGCTATCTGAAATTGATATATATATATATGTCTATATAAAATGTTATCTGAAATTGATATATATGTGTCTCTATATGTTATCTGAAATTGATATATATATGTCTATATATATATATAATGTTATCTGAAATTGCATCCACTCATAATCATGCAACATGAATGATGCCTCTTTTACCATAATCTCAACATTCTCCTCAAAAATATTATTTTTTAAAGAACTACTATTTTTTTCATTTAATTTTATTTATTCATTCATTTTAATTTGACCAGAGAGAGACAGAGAGAGAGAGAGGGAAAGTGAGAAAACAACCCACCAGGCCTCAGGATTCGAACCGTGGTCGGCCATGTGGGAATGTCCAGCATCTCGATCACTGTGGTACCTGCTGGTCCCCAAAAATGTTATTGTTAGAAATGAACTCATTTGGGGGCCAGTAGGTTGCATAGAGGTTAAGGGCGCTGGACTCCCACATGGCTAACTGCGGTTCGAGTCCTGGATCTGGCAGCTTGCTTTCTCCCTTTCTCTCTCTCTGTTTTCCTCTCTGGTCAAATTTTTTTCTAAAATTAATGAGTAAATAAATAAAGTTAAATAAACTAATTCTTTTTAAAAAGTTAACTCATTTAAACCATGCCATTTGGCAAAAATTAAAATAGAATGTCCCACTCTGACATTTTCTGGTATTTCAAAAAAATTAAATATTCTGATATTTTTTAATCAATGAAATTTTCATTTCTAATAGAAAGGTATTTTAACTTCTAAGTTACTCATTTTCTATTTGGATCATGCAAAGTAACATGACTACTGACTTCTTATCAGCCACAAGTGTTCCATTACTAACATTAGGGAATGACCATCTATCAGGCTTTAGGAATGACAGGTCAACTTCAACACCAAGCCTATTATGCTACATTATGCTGCTGTTTTAAATTACCCACAATGCTGAAGATTTTTACAGGCTTCTTCTATTAAATCCTTTTAACTAATGGGACATGACTTTTTATCCTTTACAAAGCATAATTTTTACTCTTGTAATAGTCAAAGTGGGCTAGAGCCCAGAATCACCTGACATGTTTATTTAAGAAAGATACCTAGGGCTTACCCCAGAGCTATGTCATCATTTTCTCTGGGGATAGCAACAGGGTTTTCTAACAAGCTCTATGATACACCTTAAAATGTGAGGCTTACTTCCATATGGGAGTTTATTTGCACATGCTATATATAATATTCTTAATCAATGGAGCTAACAGACTCAATAGTTTATAACAGATATTTTCATTATAGTTAATAAATCACATAATCTACAAATCGACAATATGTAAATGTACAAATTTCATGTTCAACCTACTTTGAAGCCATAAGTGATCCCTGTTGGTTCTTAAAATTTACATAACTTGGGGTTAGCAAGCCGCGTGGTAGTTAAGGTGCTGAACTCCCACATGGACAACCATAGTTCAAGTATCAGACCTGGTGGCTTGCTTTCTCACTTTCTCTCTCTCTCTCTCTCTCTCATCAAAAAAAATAGCAGTAGTAATGAAAATAAATAAATTTTTTAATTTTTATTTTTAAAGTGTTTTTAGGGAACCAGCAGAAGATGTAACGGTTACATCGCTGGACTCCCACATAGTCAATCATGGTTCGAGTCCCAGACCTGGAGGCTTAAAACACACGGGGCATGGCTGGCAGGTGGCATGGTGGTTAAGGACACTGGACTCCCACATGGCAGACCTGGCAGCTTGCTTTCTCACTATCACTCTCATTCTCTCTCTGGTAAAACTGAATACTACTACTACTAATTATAATAATAATTAACAAAATTAAAAAAAAAAAAAACCTCATGCAGGGCACATGTGCGTGTGTGTTCAAGATCCCGATAGAAGAATGGAGGAGAAGGGATTGCGGCACTGAGGGGTGATTTATCTCTTTCTATCTGTCTCTGTTTGATGAGCATACACACCCAATAACAAAAATCTCTCTTAAACAAATAAAGTGGTTTTAGACCCTCACTTCTATCAATGCCTCTGCAGCATTTCCATTCAAATAATCCTGAAGACAGAGGAAAATAGAGGTCTCAAGTACTCTAGCCAGAGAAATATGAATCCAGGTCATAATAAGCAACTACCTAAAGTGACACAAATACTTTAAGTTAGGTCAATACTTCCTTAATGCAAATATCTCAAAAACTGTCATTTTCTTCCTATCGCAGCTAGAATGTTTCTTTCTCCTTTTTGTTTCTTTGAGTTACAGTGAGTTGAATAAATTAATCTAGATAACTAAGTACCAAATTCTAAATCATAATCCATGGAAAAATAAAACAAGGCTGCCTTCTGAGGGAAAATCAGAACTAGGACAACACTTCTCACACAAGGCCAACACTTCCCATGCAATTACTAAAAACCAAAAAGTTTATGATAAAAAGAAAAATTAAAATTTTTGTTTCCTGTAGTTCCACCATAAAATGGATTTCTAAACATTACCAACTACCCTGCAATACAGATTCTCTCCATTGAAAGTTCTCTCGCAGTTTAATCTGAAAAAGATCAGGCCCAGCGGACCACACCAAATGAAATGTGATGAGAGGTTTTAATGACTATACTTGTGAATGGATAAAAGATCTGAAATAATCTAAGCATTCATTAAAATAAGTTAGTTAACTAAATTACAGTAAATTCATAAAGTACAGTGCTAACCAACTAGAAAACGAGAAAAAATTTATTACCTTCTATGGAAAACTTTTAACTGCAATGAGATAAATTTTATTACCTTCTATGGAAAACTTTTAACTGAGAATGTAAATAAAGCATTGATATAGAAAAGAAAATGTTACCATTTCTGTGTGCATATATACCATACATTGTAGTGTTAACCTGTATTTATGTAGACTATCTGTAGGTGAACCCAAAAGAAATCTGTAACTGTGACTACATTTTTAAAAGGAAACTAAAAAAGATGCTCTACTTTTGGAACCAGCTGGTGGCATGTTGGTTGAGGGCACGGGATTCCCACATGGCTGACCGCAGTTCGAGTCCTGGACCTGGCAGCTTGCTTTCTCACTTTCTCTCTCTCTCTCATTCTGTCCCTCTCTGGTCAAACTAAAATAACTAATTAATTAATAAAGTTAAATAAAAAATAATTCTTTTAAAAAAGATGTTCTACTTTTCACTGTATCCTCTTGTATATTTTGTACTTTGCATTATATATGTATATTATCTATCCAAAAAGTAAATGATAAAACATATGGTACAGTTATATATCAGAAAACTATGAAGTCATAAACTATGATGCTATATTCATATGTTTATTCACATGGAAAAAAAGCCTTTTAAATGCTAAAACTAGCTACCAACAAATCACTGTTGGACCTAAGACAATACCTAGATTAAAATAATTTTTTGAGAGGTTTTTGCTATAGGGTGCGTGCACACACCAGAAAGACAGAAAGATATAGAGGGACAAAAAGCGAGAAATCACCCCCCAGGGGAGATGGCCACGCCCCAATCCTCCTTCATTCTTCTCTCGGGATTTTGGTCATGCACACACACACGCCCAGCATGAGTTTAAGCCACCTGGTCTAGAACTCGAACCGCGTTCAACTACATGGGAGTCCAACGACATAGCCATTATGCCAACTGCTGGTCCCAAAATAAATATATTATTAACTTAAGAATGAATAAATAAAACCAGAGAGAGCAGGTGGTATGGTGACTAAGACACTGAATTCCAACATGGCTGACCACGGTTCAATTCCTGGACCTCGTGGCTTGAAAAACCACACCAGGTATGCATATGTGCGTGCCCAAAATCCCAAAAGGATAATGGAGAAGGGAGTACATGGCCATTCCGCTGGGTTATGATTTCTCATTTTCCCTCTCACTGTCTCTCTCTGATTCACTTTGCTGAGTGCATGCACCTTATGGCAAAATTTTTAAATAAATAATAAAATAAAACCAGTAATAACTACATAATATACATCATAATAATTAGGATATATATGGACCAATCTGACAAGGTTTTTCAAAAAGGAATTTCTTCTTTTACTTAACTTCCCCAAGTGGAATGATGTCCATCACCAAATTTCTAGTAAATAGAGTCAGAGAACAAAGAAACATTAAACACTTTATTAGTATCCTTCTTTATGATTCTTCTTCAATGAATAAAATGTAGTAAGTTTTAACAGTGTTTAGTTGGTGTTTTTCTGTTTGCTTTTCATCTAGCAAGGGCTTGAGTAATTCTCTATTAGGATTTATTCAGCATTTACTAGATAACCTAGAAGAGTCAAATTGCTGTCATTAACTATAATATAATGCAATTTTTGTACATTTTTGTACATTTGTTGTGGCATGTTTGAGGCCATTTCCATCTATCCCAAAGCATTGGTAACGCATGTGCCAACTCATGCATTTGAAGCATGATGTTTCTGATTCATCATTAACCATGAGAGTCAGGCAAAAAGAACCCCAGCAAGCTCTTCCTTCATAACTGGCCAATGCACACCTACTGTAATAGGAAATGGGCATGCCAGGTATTAGCTACGCAAAGAAGAAAATGACAGTTCTGAGATTGATAATTTAGCAGAAAAACTAAGTATGGCAACAATGGGACACAGTTAAATTAGAGTTCAACTGTGATATCGTTGTACCTGTGTGTCCACTCTGCCAAACCCTTTTCATATCTCTTTGGACTGTCTTCACCCCACTGCCTGACACTAGAGCAAATGTGTTAATGCAAAAGCTGCCCAAACGAAAGGTTCCTGCAATTCCCAGGAAATCAAGCCAGAAGAGTTTGAGAGCCTCTGCCATGCTTGGGTACAAGTACCTTTAAGAGGCCTTAGCCAATGCCACTGGTACCTTTTTTTCCCCCTACATTTATCCTCTCTACTGTCATACCTTTTAAACTACAACCACCTCACTTCTATTAGAGAAAGGAGAACTCTCTCTCAAACCCCCTCTATACTTAGGCAGATTCTTTAAATTAATTAAATAAATAATCATTCAGCCAGCCTTAATTTTGTAAGCCACCATCTTCCAAACTGTACCAAAGAAAACTAAAATAGAACTTTGTGCCTAAACAAATTGGAAAGCCATGAAGGAATCAGTGATGGCTGAAACTGGAGGCTGGATCAGTGATAGTACCATTATCAATGACAAAAGTAAGAAGAGCAGAAAACCTGCTCTAAGATGAAGACTTTGATTTTGAACACATTAAAAGTTACAGAGGACAAGGTAAGCAGATAAAGATGCTGAGCCAGTGGAAAATAAGAGCAGTAAGTGCAGGAAAAAGGATCAAGGGCAGAAACACATTTCAGTCATTTGAGTGAGGTGGTAGAGGAAAGAATGGGTAGAGTGAAAGGAACATGGACTGACAGAGCACAGACCTTTAAAAGTCCATCTGCGATCCACACGCTTGGGCTAACAGCAGGAAGAAGCTGAGCCAGGGAGGGTGGGAAGAGGGTATAAGTCAAGAGATAAGGGAAAACAGAATCCAAGGAAGGCAAAGAGGTGAGACCTTCAGGAAGATTAGGAGAAGCCAGTACCCCGTAATGAAGGGGCACCACGAGAACAGAGAAAATGCCAATTCAAGGATTCGCTAACATGAGAAATGATTAAACTTAATTACTTTTTCATGACTAGGGTAAAAGCTGAATTAACAAGTAGTTACAAACTAGATGAGCTGTAAGAAAAATGGGAACAGCAAGTAAAAATTACACCAAGAAGAAAGTGAAGGCAGAACTGCCTCCTTTTTGGGCCAGCCAGTGCATGGTGGTGCCTTCTTTTCCATCATCTCTAGGTCTCCTGATCTGAAGTCTATAACACCGCACATACAAAAATTCATTCGCCTTATGAAGTATTACCGGAGGCATTAGCAATCATGTTTTATACCTCACAACAAAGAAAATCATCTATTTCTTAAAAGAATTATTTTATTTAACTTTATTTATTTTTTTAATTTGACCAGAGAAGGATAGAGTAAGAGAGAGAGATAGAGGGAAAGTGAAAAACCAAGCCACCAGGTCTGAAACTCGAACCAGGGTCGAGTCCAACACTCTTACCACCACGTCACCTGCTGGCCCCAGTCATCTATTTTTTTTTAAAGAATTATTTTATTTATGGGACCAGCAGTTAGCGTAATGGCTATGTCGCTGGACTCCCACGTAGTCGACCACGGTTCAAGTCCTGGACCCAGTGGCTTAAACTCACGCTGGACACGTGTGTGTGGGTGCCCAAGATCCCAAGAGGAGAATGGAGAAGGGATTGTGGTGTGGTCATCCCCCCTGGGGGGTGATTTCTCACTTTCTGTCTGTCTGTCTTTCCAGCAAGCGCACGCACCCTATAGCAAATACCTCTCAAAAAAATTATTTTATTTAACTTTATTCATTTATTTATTTAAATTATACTAGAAAGGGACAGAGTGTGTGGGGAGAGGGAGAGAGAGAGAGAGAGAGAGAAAGCAAGACACCAGGTCCATGACTGGAACCGCAGTCGGCCATGTGGGAGTCCAGCACCCTTAACCACCATGCCACCTGCTAGCCTTGAAAGTAATTTATTAAAGTCATGACAAAGTCAACATTCAAGTATTTAATAACATGCTTCCTTCTGGAACTGTATCCAAGTACATTTCTTGAAACACAAATGGTTCCCAAGATTTTTCTCTACACATTCACATTAAACATATATTACAAGCTAACAATTCTATAGCTAGCTTTACAGAACTCAAGCCAATATTTCATGTTTAAAAAAAGAGTGGTAATTAAATATATTAGCATTTGGTGTGGGCAGTAACACAGCTTTCATCTAAGGACATCAAAGCAACTTTTAAACACCTATTAATTATGACCTTTCTAAACTATCCTATTTACTGTAGCAGAATACAAGTGGGAACAAAGTAACATTATACCTTGATGAAACTCAAAACTAAAACATTTGAGATTAGTAATAGCTACAATAAATCAAGGTGTAATAACAAAAGTTACTTTGGATATTCTACTTCAGAATGAAAAGTAACATCTTCTCAATTTAATCTACAAAAACTATCATCCATCAAAATTCAGAAAAGGATCATTTTTTAAATTCTCTTAAGGAAAAAGTTTGCTAAGGAAATACTATGAACAAGCTAACAAATATAACAAAAGCATACTGTTTTCAGCTCATGTAGATATACTTAACGTTCAGTTCAAAAAGGAGGCAACAATACAACAGAAACAAGGGCAAACTGGGAGGACAGGAAAAACCAGAATTCATAATGGACCTCAAAAGTGTCAGTCACACTACTGGGTTCTTTACCAGGTTAACCTTGGGTAACTATCACAGTGAGCCTACTGCATAATTACTATTCTCTTTAGCATGCAAATAAACCAAAATAAATGAAGTTTCCTCAAGATCCTGCCAGCTAATACAGAGGCCATATTTTGAGCCATGTTGGTCTGAAACTCAGAACTGTGAGATTCTCTCACTGCATCGCACTGACTACCCTCACAACAAGTGATTCGGATTCTAGTCCTAGCTTTCCTACTAACCAGACCTGGGTTCCAACCTCTTTTCTATAAAATGAAGAGTATAAACTCAATGATGTCAGTAATTCTAGGCAACTATAACATACTGATAGGCAGGACTATTTAGGTTAATGCTTAAAGATGATAATTATAGGGAAACAGCAGTTAGAGTAATGGCTATGTCACTGGACTCCCACGTAGTCAACCGTGGTTCGCTTCCCGGACCCAGTGGCTTAAAACTCACGCCGGGCACGTGTGCATGCATGCCCAAGATCCCGAGAGGAGAATGGAGGAGAAGGGATTGCGGCATGACCATCCCCCCTGGGGGGTGATTTCTCGCTTTCTGTCTCTATGTCTCTCTCTGTCTGTCTGGCGAGCGCACGCGCCCTATAGCGAAAACCTCTCAAAAAAAAAAAAAAGATGATAATTATAATACATGTATACATTTTGCTAGGTACAACTCTGTGCTACCAAGTTTCATTCTACACTTCTTCCAAATGTTACATATATAACAAAGGAATATCAACATGACAGTAGCAAAGCAGACACCAAGAACCTTTTTCAGTACTATGTAAGATAGCTGAATGTCTCGTAAGAAATTACATCTTTCCAGATTAATACGATTCTGAAAGACTGAAATAAAGCTTTGTGGACAGCCAACAATATAGTGGTTAGGGTGGGTGAATCCTGTATGGCCAAGTCACATACTGAAGCTCAGGAAATACACTGGAAGTGTGTGCGTGAATGCCCAAATTCCCAAAAAGGGAATGGGAGAGAAGGGATTAAAGCATGGCCATCCCCACTGAGGTGGTTTTTTTCACTTTCTCTATGCGCTCTATGGTGCTAAACCATAGAGCAACTTAGAGGGGGAAAAATTGTTACAGTAAGCCAAGGTTAATTTACTATTGAAAAAAGAAAAATTTTTCTATAAATTTAATATCACATAAGTGTACAGTGTTTATAAAATCTACAGTAGGGTATAGTTATATCATAAGCCTTTATATTCACTCTCTACTCAACAACCCACCCAGGAAAACTTCTAGTCCTGCAAGATCCATTAATGGTAAATGCCCTAAACAAACGTAACATTTTTTTTTATACCATATTTTTAACATACCTTTTCTTTGGCTAGATACACAAATACTTAAAATTGTGTTACAATTGCCTACGTTAATATGCTGTACAGGTCTCTAGTCTAGGAGAAATAGGCATATCAAACAGCCTACTTAGCCTACCTATGTAATAGGCTATATTCTCTAGATCTGTGTAAGAACGCTCTGATAGCCACACCATGACAGTGTCACCTAACGATGCTTTTACCAGAATTGATCCCTGTTGTTAATGCATGACTGTATTAAACACCTGATGATGTATAAACTTCTAGATGGACTGTGCCAAGGTCCAAAACCAAAACTATCTTAACTCAGTTACTTTAAAACACTTTTACATTTTAAAAAGAACTAAAAAAATCAATGATTAAATTACATTAATGTCATAATTAGCATTAGCAATAACATTTTTTAATATTTTAAGAACTGATTTTTTTAAGAGGTTTGTTTTTTTGTGTTTTTTTTTGTTTTTTTGTTTGTTTGTTTGTTTTTTTGCTATAGGGCACATGTGCTCGCCAAAAAGAGAGAAACAGAGAGACAGAAAGCGAGAAATCACCCCCGGGAGGATGGCCATGCCACAATCCCTTCACCTCCATTCTCCTCTCAGGATCTTGGGCACACACGCACACATGCCCGGCCTGAGTTTAAGCCACTGGGACTGGAGCTCGAACTGTGGTCAACTACATGGGAGTTGAGTGACATAGCCATTATGCTAACTGCTGGTCCCAAGAACTGTTTTCATTTTTAAATCACTGCTCTTCATCGATGTAATTCATTGTGAACAATTTTCATGAATCACTTTTTTTTATTTAAACTCTCTATGCCACTTCACATGGATTCTCATTTTAATTAGAGTAAAACCCAAACTATTTTATAGCCCTACTACTGACTTCTATATGATGTAACGTTAGCCTTCTTTTTCAACCTCCTCCACTAAATTCCAGCCATATACTCCCTCTAATTGGATAGCTCCCCCCTCGTGAGAACTTCACAGCATTTGAGATTTCAATTTAATTATCTTAGAATTATTTTATTTAACTTTATTCATTCATTCATTTATTTTAATTTGACTAGAGAGGGACAGAGGGAGAGAGAGAGAGAGAAAGTGAGGAAGCAAGTCACCAGGTCCAGGGCTTGAACTGCGGTTGGCCATATGGGAGTCCAGCACCCTTAACCACCGTGCCACTGCCAGCCCCAGATT